CAAAAGCAGGTGAAACAATAGAATTCAAAAACCATTTCAAGAAACTTAAAGCTCCATTCGTAATCTATGCCGACTTTGAATGTTTAACTGTGCCAATTGATGTTAAAAGCAAATCGGCAAAAGCTAAAACTACATCATATCAAAATCATCGTCCGTGTGGTTTTATGATTAATGTAGTCAATGCTATAACCGGAAGTAGTGAGCCTTACTTATATAGAGGTCAGGATTGTATGGATAAATTTGTTGAGAAAATCAATAAAGTCAGAGAGGAAGTTTTGGAGAAAATGAAGGAGGACAAAGACCGTATTGAAACCGAGAAGGACTGGGAGGACTTCAATAATGCCACTAACTGCTTCATTTGTGGAAACAAATTTGAGGAAGGAGAAAAGAAGTGTTGGGACCATTGCCACTTTACGGGACAGTATAGAGGTTGCGCCCACGAGGACTGCAATCTACGATTTAGTATGAGATATTATAAAATCCCTGTGTTTCTTCATAACCTTAAAAACTATGATGCCCACTTAATCATCAACAAGGCTCACGAACTGAACAAGAATTCTAAAATAGAATGTATCGCTCAGAACAGCGAAAAGTTTATAACCTTTGGTTTTAAAAATCTTTGTTTCAAGGACAGTTTCAGTTTCTTATCGTCTTCGTTGGATAAGTTGGTCAGGTTGAGTAAATATGAGGATGATAAAAAGCGTGAGAATTGGAAGAACAATTTCAGATACAGCGTTAGAAACCCGTATGTTAAAACCGATGAAGATTTGGATTTATTGACTGATAAGGGTATTTATCCCTATGACTACTTTGATGATTTTGAAAGATTTAAGGAAAGGGCTTTACCACCGAAAGAAGCGTTTTACAGTAAATTAAGTGAGGAACATGTAAGTGATAAAGATTATGAAAGGGCACTGAAAGTATGGAAGCACTTCGGGATTAGAACACTCGGGCAGTATCACGACTTGTATTTAAGAACTGATGTTTTACTACTGACCGATGTATTTGAAAACTTTAGAGACTTGTGTATGGAATACTACGGTTTAGACCCCGCTCATTATTACACATTGCCAAATTTCGCATGGGACGCGATGCTTCTAAAAACTGGTGTTGAAATAGAACAATTGCATGACCAAGAAATGTTTGAGATGGTTGAAAAGGGAATGAGAGGAGGAATGTGTCAAGTCAGTCATAAATTAGCGGTGGCAAATAATAAGTATATGGGGGAAGCATATGATGAGAACAAGCCATCAAATTATATTAGCTACTTGGATGCTAATAACTTGTATGGTTTAGCAATGTCCCAGAAATTACCGCTAAAAAATATCAAGTGGGCAAAGAAAACGCCCAGTGTTGAAACATGGAATGAAAACGATGAGTTCGGTTATATTATGGAAGTTGATTTGGAATATCCCGAAACATTGCACGACTTCCACTCTGACTATCCACTAGCGCCTGAAATAATGAATGTAAATGTTAGTATGCTTTCTGATTATCAAAAGCAAGTCTACAAAATATATTATGATGGCAAAAATCCCAAGGATGAGAAAACAAGTAAGTTAATATTAAATCTAAAGGATAAAGAAAAATATGTGGTTCATATCAAGACTTTACAGTATTATTTGAAAATGGGAATGAAAATGACAAAAGTCCATAGGATAATAAAATTTCAACAGAGGGCATGGTTGAAACCGTGGATTGATTTTAACACTGGTAAAAGGAAAGAAGCCAAAAGCGATTTTGAGAAAGATTTATTCAAATTAATGAATAATTCTGTGTATGGAAAAACTATGGAAGACAAACGAAATCATATGGACTTTGAATTAGTTGATAATGAAGTTAGATACGAAAAATGTGTTAATAATCCAACATTCAAAAATAGATTTATTATTAATGAAAACCTTGTAGGAGTTGAAAAAACTAAAGCGAAGCTGAAACTGGACAAACCGATTTTCTTAGGAATGACAATCCTTGACATCAGTAAATTACATATGTATCAGTTCTACTATGATGTTCTTAAGAAGAAATACAATGAAAACATCAAACTGGTTTATACTGATACTGACAGTTATGTAATTCAAACATTCACTGAGGACATCTACAAGGACTTCAAAGAATTAAACCAATATATGGACTTTAGCGATTATCCACCTGAACACCCCTGCCATGACAAAACAAATAAGAAAAAACTCGGTTATTTCAAGGATGAGTGCAACGGTCAAACAATAACACAATTCATAGGGTTAAAGCCTAAATCGTATGCTTTTACAATACACGGTGAAGAAGAAGAACAAAAGAAATCAAAAGGTGTAGTGAAACACAAGGTGAAGAAAGAACTGACTTACCAAAACTACCACGAAGCATTATTTCAAAACAAAAAGCATGAAATAACATATAATTTTATTCGTAGTCGCAACCATCAATTATTTTCAATGTCTCAAGTCAAGCAATCACTCAGTAATTATGAAAATAAAAGGTTTTACATTGATGCTTTCAATTC